CAACTAGTGCATAGCGGAAGGTAATGACTTCACTCGAGCTGCGAGCCAGGTGGACTGGTCGGTACCAAAGGAATCATAAGTTGAAGCCTGTTAGTCTATTAGTATAGGCGGAGTACATTCGTTGTGCGGCCGACTTGTACCCTTTAAATTATCAGCCAGTTGACCAGTCAAGCCAGATTGGCTCGAGAAGAAGCACAACAAACTGGTACGACGGCGACACAGACTATGGAAGAAATTCCCGTTGTTTGGCTCTGACGAAGAGTACGAAGCGTACACAAAACAGCGAAATTTCTGCAACAGCAAGGAAACACTAATGCGCTTAACCACCATGCTGCGCTGGCATAAAGAGGCTTTTCCAATCACAAGGCTCATGAAGACCTGCTTCACGGCCTTCTCAAGTGTTTTAACCAGAAAAGTGGTCAGCTCGATCAGTTGTCCACTTTGGTTGGGTCACCGCCTTTTGGTATTGGCTTGACGACTGAGCATTTCTAGTCGATCAATAATGAACCCGTGGATAGTGACCTGTTGAACAACTCGCTCACACAGGCCGAGATAAGGGCCGAGCATGACTCGAAGATTAGTAAGTTTCTTCCATTTGGGACTTCACGTTTTGTCCTTTCAAGACTGGCCAGCAGCTTGGGTACATCTTCAGTGCTACAATCCAGGCCGTCACTTTCGGCATGTGCTGTACCCATCGAACTTGGTATATACACCTGGTCAAATGCAAATACGGAAGCGAACTGCGCCACCAGCGGGAACGCGCCATCAGTGCTCGACGTTAGGGACTGTCCAACTGCGCCATTTAATAATGGCATATTGCCTGCAGGCCTCAGGCGCCGCGTCATGTATGCAAAGATCCTCTTAAGAACAGTATTTGCTCGGGCTGCAAGCTGCTCTTCGGAGGTTAGGCGCGTTTGTGTTTCCGTGCTGTTGCAGAGATTTCGCTGTTTTGTGTACGCTTCGTACTCTTCGTCAGAGCCAAACAACGGGAATTTATTCCATAGTCTGCGTCGCCGTCGTGCCAGTTTGTTGTGCTTCTTCTCGAGCCAATCTGGCTTGACTGGTCAACTAGCTGATAATTTAAAGGGTACAAGTCGGGCGCACAACGAATGTACTCCGCCTATACTAGTAGACTAACAGGCTTCAACTTATGATTCCTTTGGTACCGACCAGTCCACCTGGCTCGCAGCTCGAGTGAAGTCATTACCTTCCGCTATGCACTAATTGAATACTGGTTCCAGCGGAGGAGATTACGTCTACGGCAACTGGAATCAGACTATGATCATCGAGGCATTTTTGTTGCGAACCCATCATACTTCGGAACATTTACAAAAGCCAAGGAAACTAGTGTTGATAGATATGCTAGATATTCGGCTGACGTCGTATGATCTTGTAGATATTCTAGGCTCCGCCGGTAGTACGTAGGCTTTTGCCATCATCTGAAACGTATGCAAAACAGCATAAACTAGTACTTGTTCGGATTCGTGACAATTTTACCAATACGATCGGCGTTCTGTTACGCTTCCGCAGCATCGGTTGGTTATTGCTATGTGTTCAAGCTAAGGCTAGTCTTGCGTTCGCAATGGCGGATTCCTGGTGGCACTCTGTCCCTTCAAGTGCCGAAAGGCGATGCTCGAATAAAACAAGCGATGATCACTACGATGAGTCAGTAGTCGGCTTTCGTTATCTGATCTACTCTACGGAGGCCAAAACAATCTCCGAGATAATTTTTGCTTGGTGGCTGGCGACCAACTCGTCTCCGGCAAAGTTATAAATCACAGCATGTGTTAAGGAAGGCCGAATATCGTGTGGATGTTGGGTGAAAACAGTCTTTGACTGCATCAGCACTGCAGTTTGTAGAAGTGTTGACGGAGACGATAAATAAGGCACGCGTTACATCTTGGCGCTTACTTAACTTACATGTAGCTCGTTTTCCGACCGTACAAAGCCGACTGTTGACTGGGATGCAGTCAAGCAGAGCAGACTCAGCACTGTCACTCGGAACAACCCCAACACCAGCTTGTCTAGAATCGGCAGATTCTTGGTCTCCGTTGCGGTGCAAATGGTATTTGACCCCAGGGTTTGTAGTGGAGTTAATCCTGATAATGGTATTTGAGTCTTACAATCTGGTTTTCGCAAGACAACATATGTCTACCTATGGAGTCTCAAGGGTGTGGGCCAGGTACGCTTGTCGTCCGATCTGCATCAGAGTGCGAACATTGAGCGCTGCTAGGCCGAATGGAGAACTAGGTCAAAAGATGTGAAAAGGCTGTGATTGCCGGACACTGAACACCAAGAGTTTGACTCTGACTTCAATCAAGCCATCCAGGATAAGTGTACCTTAAGAACGGGACGTGGGTCGATGAGAGAGGTTTAGCAGTGGGGACAGTGGAACAGGTAGATATAGCAAGAGTGAAAGCATTAGTATCATCCATCCATGACCCACCAGTGCACGTGATTTTATCCCGTTGCCCAGGCCCAGATCCCACCTTGAGCCTTTGATTAAGGATCTAACCACCAATACAGCAACGCGGTATGAAGGCGTCACAATCCGTTAGGAGCCTGTGACCAAACAAGTAGTTTACAAGCCTTTAGTAGCGCAAAGGACCATGAGCCCAATACATCCTCGAATTACAATGTCGCGCAAAGAAAAGCAAGGGACAGTGACTTTCGTTAGGAGCAAGTCACATCCGCCATGTCACAGTGTTCTGAAACGCTCATATGTGACCTATTATTGGGAGAACTTTTGTCGGGCGAATACCTACCAAGTCTTGGAAAATTGTAGCGGAACAATTTGTCGGAACGGGGTAAACATGGATCACCAATCTGGCTCCACGATGACGTTGTTTGGCAAACTACCTCTCCAGACAGCCACAACTCTTCGCTCTTACCAGGAACTAAGGCATTAACTCCGAGTTTTGCAGCGTTACAAATCACACAGTTCTGATGGTTAAGCTCCCGCACCATGTAAAGATGGTGACTAATCGCATGGTTCGAGAACTCATCGCTTTTTTATAATTCTGGTCAAAGTAATTGGTTCCATTATCTTCATGTGAGTCGATGGTCGCCCCGTCTTAACAAAGGGCTTGGCAACATAAGTTCCAACTCGAGGGGTATCAGCTTGGTTCCCCTCGTCTTCAAACTTCTAGGGTCCACAAGTTTTCCTTAACTTACGATTTACTACAGCAAGAAGAACCGGCTGGGTTCCGACCTGGTCACTGTTGTGTCGATAAATTTTCCCAGTGCGCCAAATCAACGATCACCCTCATGTGTACCCAAGGCCGACGACCACCTGGATATCCGTGTTGCCTTCGATTCTGCTAACAGGACTGCATTGTGGCACTAACTGTTGAGGAATGGCGTTTTCGGGAAGTTTTTTCCATTCTGCGGGTATTTCTGGCTTACAGGGAGCTTCCACTTTCATTTGTTTTCACTAATAGGGTTCGACAAGCATGCCCTATAGCCCCATTTCTCTTCAAGTTTGCTGTTGAAGAAGCCCTCATAAACGTTCTGTAAAACTCATTAAACGCTGGCGCTGTGCTCCTCTTAGGTAGTCGAGTAGTTGTCTTGGACTAAGCTGATGCTATTGCCTTGCTGGATGATGGTTCACAACCGTCTAAGTTTCACTTAAACGCTTGGCGATTGAAGTCGAAGTATGGCATGCACGCTTCCCCATACATGCACACACAGTTTTTCAGGACTAGCAGATGCCAGTATCTGCACTCATTCATGGTGGTAAGAAACTGGAGGTTGTGGAATTCTTTGTCTACCTGGGGATTTGCATCACAGCTGAGGGAGCTGTCGGAGACGAGATTTTGTTTCTTGCCTAAATAACTAGTCTCGCTTTCGTCTGGCTGAACCACTTGTGGCACCGCCATGACCGTCTCTTCATCAGGGTGTATGATACTTGTGCAACCGTTCTCGCTGTACTGTTGTCCAGTGGCGAGACATGGTCTGTTCGTACCGTTAACCAGCCCTGGCTGTCTGTCTCCTAACACCATTGCTTGCAGCCCATTGCCTGTATGTGGTTGCTGCTCCATGTAACTAATGTGGAAGTTAGACAGTGCATCTTTGGGGAGACAGCCACTCGCTCGAGGAACTTGTCTCGCCGCGCCAGCTGCGGTGGCCTGGACACGCATTGCGCAGGCCCGTCCATTTTCTTCCACGTCGGGCGTTGTCCACCGTTGCTGGACATGGCGGAGGAGACGATGCGGTGGACTATCTACGGCTTGGAAAATTGGCATGAAAAATCTGACGAAACAGTTGCCCATGGTAGGTTTTTCTCGGCTGCCCGGTTGGGATTTCAGGGCTAAGAATTGTCCATCCTTTTCCCAATACAGTAGTTTTCACAGGCTGCAAATACAAGTGGTCATTTATTTAATACCCTTAAGCTTCGGAAATGGTAGGTCACACTGTTTCGTTTTCCATACTGGTGGTTTGACGTTGCACGTTTCGAAGACTATTTTCTCCATCACCTGTACCTTGAAGTACAGCTTGCTTCTACGTCCTCTACTATTATGAGTATGACTGACCGTTCCGGTGATATAGTTTGTACTTCGCCGGTATTAGATGCGTATTTCACTCCTGTCGATCGTAAATTTATTTTCTCTCGTCCGGGTCCATCTATCCTCGGCAGTACAGTTAAGTGTCGCTTTTCTGTTACGCACTGATATTGACAACAAAATTTGTGTTATTGGTATGAGGAGTAATTCAATAAACTTAAGGCTTAACAATTTAGTAGGCAGTCATTGGTTTAAGATAGAACGTAGCTAAGCAATATTTTCACGTATATGCACAATATTTATATAGATAACACGGCCAAGCCATTAGGATAAATGACTCTTATTTTCAAGAAGGTACAACTGTAACAATCTTTCGTTAGTACGGAATTCCCTTTCTCAGTAGTACCTCAATTACTGTGTTCACGATCGCATGCTTATATCTAAGCGGTATGCAACACATCAAGATATTCGTCTTTGGGGTTGCTGAAGCCCAACTCTTCAGTCCGGATTACTTGTTGGGATGAAGCGATTTCCAATAGCAACACCAGCTCTTCCGTTCTTGTTTTTGGTAGGTTTTGCGATCAGCCGGGTTCCATATGGCACATTTCCTCCATGACCATCGGCTAGCTGATTTTCCCATTCGGACACGCACCAGATATCATAGTAGAGTAGGAAACGCTCCAGATGCTGAGGTTGTCGAAGGTTATTAATCAGATGAACATAGTGTGTTTCTGTCTCACCGTTCACTGAAAATCAGGTCAAACAGGAGTAGTAGGGGAGTTGAATAGTATATGTAGACATTCATCAGATGTAGACTCAGTCATCAAAAACAGGTTGGGGGTATGTCAAGGTAACCTAGGGTGGCCATACGTCCCGATTTAGGCTAGACAGTCCCGCATTTCGAGCTGTCACCCCGCTTTGTTAAATACTACGCGGGACGCACCAATGTCCAGATTTAGGGTTGGAGATTTCAGGATGTCCTGCTTTAAGCATGTAGAACGTAGGTGGAAAAATAACCCAACACCAATCAATGACGGTGCGTGACGTCAAAAGGCCAACATAAGTGGGGCCGACATGAGTTGGGCGAGGAAGTCACCTGCGTGGTTGGGAAATGCCAAATGATTTTCAGGACAATATAAAAAGAGAGAGAAAACCGATGATGAAATTTCTATCTTCAGTGGAGAACGCCTGCATTAAGTAAAATTTGAGGAGAATATCATATCTATAAGAACGTGTAAGATGTCTAATAAATTGAAGATCGAATTTCCACTTAGTAAGAAGGCAACACGCGGCAACGATTCGCATGTTCGATGTGACACATGCGAAACCGAAATTTCTATTGCTCACGGTGGCAGATGAGATATCACAATGCACCTAAAGTTGGATCGCCGTAAGGTAGCAGTGTCTGCGGCATCATCTTCTACATTGTAAAAAACTAGTTCTAATCAGCAATGTTTGGAAAAGTAGAATGCACTTTCGCTTATACGCCATATTTCATAACCACAGTTTCCGCACCATGAATTGCATTAGCAAGTTGCTAGAGAAATTGTTTGAGCCGATGCTTGCTTGTACCCGTAAACATGTGAGGCAATAACAACTAATCTCCTGTTCTTATTTACAACAGACAACTTCATGAAAAATTGAAGAAAGCAAATTTCGTGTCATTATTAACGGACGCCTCAAACCATAAGGAAGTAAAGGTGTTCCCAATCATTGTGTGACATTTTGTGCCGTCCTCGGATATTGAAGTGAATTTATTACATCTGCAGCCACTTACTGATGGCACATCGTACACAATTTGTGAAATTGTTACGAATGCCTTGGAACAAAATAATATGATCAGCAAATCTGTGGGATATTTTGCTGACAACGCCAACACAGATTTCGGTGGCGTTCAGAGAAGTGGAAAAGAAAATGTTTTTGCGAAAATGAAATCTTCGATTGTAGTAAAACTTTTGGGTGTTGGTTGCGTGACTCACATTGTCCACAACCCATTGCAAACGACCGCTGACTCTCTGCATATTCATGTTGAAACCGTTGTGATGAACATATATTCCTACTTATACATTTCCACCCTTCATGCTGAAGAACTAAAGGAATCCTGTGACTCCACATTGGTAGAATGCCGACCCATTCTAGAATAGGGGAAAACGTGATGACTTTCACTTATGCCAGCAGTGGCGAGAATCCTAAAGAACTTTTCAGCGTTGAAATCTTATATTTGTCTCGACAGATGTGACCTGCAGTATTACAATGTTGCATTGAAAATCCCTGCGCTGAGCTTTGCTTCTTCCCCATGCAAAACATCCCTGCCATTTTTCATACTGCTGTACTAAAAATTGAGGAACAAAATCTTTCAGCACTAGGAGTGTCGTCTGCTATGTATAAACTCCTGCAGAAGTGCAGGGACAAAAGTGGAAAATTTTGTTCCAAACGAGATAAAGCTCCGAACTGGCCAACTCGAACAAGCGGTTTTCATAAGTAAAACAGATGTATCATCTCCAGCCTCTAAAACAATTGCATCGATTATCTGCAGAAGCGAATGAACCAATTTCAAAACGGAGTGACTTCAGTTAGGTAACGTTAAAACGACCACCGTCCTCAGAAAAGTTGTCGCAAGGGTCAGTCCTTTTGGACCTAAACTCCCAGACCTGGAAATCAGTGACTACGAGCTGTTTGACGAAGCCAACAACGTGTCTAGATTTGCATCAGCATCAGTATCTAGCTTTTCAATTTTTTGTGCGGTCTGCATATACTGAAACAACGGAAAGTAGGCTAAGCGTCGCGTTTTGGCCCGTGAAAAATCTAACCACCTTAATGAAACCTGATAGTAAATCGAAAGTTTGGGTAACAGTAAGGTATTTAGTCCCTGTAGTTGCATTGTCACCTTATGCGGCACTTGCGACTGTACCTAAAAAGCGGTGCTTGACAGAAACATATAGAGTGCTCAAACGCTACTAGTATCCTTGACAATTCCGTGCCATAACACGTTCTCAAACCGTTTCGTTGAACACGTACTCTAATCATTTACCAATCTCCAACTATGTCGCACCACGAAGTCCCTTTTAAGACCTTGAGCAAGTACAACAGACCCTAACCGTACTGGTTAGAAAATTTATTTCTTAAGGTAAACAAGCTATCATGGGGGAATGAAACACGATCGCGTGATAATTGCTGCGAGTTATGTGAATGCGCAAGCAGCACGGGGATCCGTAGCCCCGAAGATCCCGCGAAGAAGCGATCTATCTTCTTGAGATGCCTCTTACGCTGTACAGCCATCCTCTTATGTACCAGAGGTAATATAGTCCCACGAATAAATTTAAGAGCATGGCGTTGCTTTGGTTTTGTAATATGAACAAATAAGCTACGACTATTTTCGCCCGCATTTATCTGGAAGAAGGGCGGTGAATCGAATTTTAAACTTAGTTAAAGGTTACTCACGAGGGGACTTATCCTTGCCTGGTGCTCACGGATAGTACATGCTTCCAAAATACTTTCAAGCACCCATACTTCGGCTGTGACACTCGAAGTAAACGTTAGTGACGTAGAATTGAAGCATGCTAAACTATTTTAGAAATCATTTAGGTTAAAATTTGTGGCTTCTCGACTGAGGACGATTTGTTCTGAACTATCATGCATGTTTAGTTTACTCGCAGCTTCCCACAAGTTCTAAATCCACGTACCGGATGGCTTGCCCTTTTATTCGTTCACCTAAGTGCGTGGCTGAAACCGGATTCTGCAACGCATACATTTGCAAACCATCAGTGCGTTGGTCTCAGCTGCAAGGAGGTGGCGGAACTAGAATTCGATTCACAGGCCTCCAGCAGACCACTTCATTATCTTCCGCCTATTAAGCCAAAACAGTATGAAGGAATTTTGTTTCTGAGCTGACGTGGCTTACAGGATTGATGTTATGTTCACTGTAAGAAAATCGTTCACGAATCGTTGATCAAGGCGCAGTAAGTTGGCAAAAGGAATAGGCAGCAGTTGCTGATTTTGTTGCTAACGAGTCTACACATTCCCCTTATAAAGTAAAGTGGAGGTCACATGGAACGTTTCTGCCCAATACTGTCTGAGCATTCTCAGTATCAAACGAAGTAAATATTTTAATAATATTAGTGTAACAATTGCCGTAGCAATGAATAGTTAAAATTATATCAAACCTAAATGGTAATGATTATTTCTTGAATAATCCAATGATCGCTTATCCGTTGGATTCAACCTCTGCCCCTCAACAATTGTGTAGGATCAACTTCACAAGATAACTAAATAAAGAATGTTGCATGGCTTGCGGCAGGCGTTTGTACGACCTCTAGGTGACAGCGATCGTTTGTACACAAAGTAGTGTTATACTTTCCCAGCCTGAACAATAATAATAAAAACAATAATAACGATAAAGTTTTGCAACATTCCTTGGTGAGGAATTTAATGTATTACTTGTTTCGCAGAGCAGTGACCCGGTCACCTGCAACGTAGTCATTTATCGGTAAGGTGTGTTGCACTGTTGCAGTTTTCATGCGGAGTGAAGCAAGGGATGACCCTTAGGGGAGCCGAATAGTCGGTGGCACAGGCACAGGCTTGATAATATAACTAGTGCTAAAAGAAGGACAGTCAATAGTGGACTTCTAAAGGTTCATATATTATTGAGGCAAAGTTCCATTAATGTGTCTGGGTTATACTGTGGGCCAAATGTCTTTTATATGTGCAGTGTTTTGAAGTCATTTATAGAGCGGTTCGAAATGGCGTCTGTTGTAACACATACAGGACTTTAGTGACAGTTGCATCTACATCGGTCTGCATCTGCATCGGTCTTTCTCACTGAGATACTAAGCAAAATATTTGAGTTGCGGGCTGTGTGGCAGGTAGTTCCACTCTACAGTTGGATAACTAGTGGTGTTCCGTAATTCAGAGTTGAGGCCATCCGTAAAGACTCGCTTACAGATAACGTTGACAAGCGGAAGATTTCTACATAATCACTGTAGCTCAATGGAGTCCACCAAAGATGACGGCAACTATCCCGTTAGCTCAGGGTTCAGAAAACCACCATGAATACCTTTGTAAAGATGGTCAAATATTTTTCAACAATTATTCCACTTCACTTTTAGCTGGCTATGTAGGATACTAAATAGTGTACAGTAGTTCTCACCATGATATTTCTCGGGTTCCGTAAAATGTTTGGGTCAAAACAAAACAAGACCAGAAATTAACTACCGTAAGTAACAATACCCGTTCAGTATAAAAACAACTCAGTCTTTACAAGCACACAATAAATACGAACCACCGCACTTCTCACTGAACAGTAAAAAGACGAAATTCAGGTTCTGCGAGTGGAATACTTTTGCATCTGTATTGACTTTACCTTTATTATTAGTACCTAACGGAAGGCGGATGAAAAACCATGCGGGCCACCGGCTTCTCTGTGAAATGATACTGAACAAAAAGAAGGCGAATGATCTACCCAGATGTCAACGGTCTCCCTTAATCATCCTGCTATCTATTTTTGTGCGTTGTGTACTTGTGCCGAGCGGTCGCAAAAAGAACTGTCCTCCTGCGTTATTTTCCTCCAAATCTTTGGATTAATGATCACAGAGACCTACGTGCCATCATTCGAGTTGGCTCCCAGAGCTCTTCCTACCACTGCTCATCTATTGGATCTATCATTCACGGATCACCAGCAAACTGTGCTCTTGCTACTTCGAAGTCAACCGTATTTGAACCCTATCGGAGGTTTTATTTTTCCTCTCGT